TTGAAGTGTAATCCATACTGCAGACTGTAGTCTTTAATCTTCATCAGTAAGTACTTCAAGTCATCCTCACTTTCAGCAAGCAAAGTTGTGTCATCTGAATATCTCAAGTTGTTAATGAGCCTTCATCCAATCCTGATGCCACATTCTTCTCAGATTATCTGCTCAGCATACAGATTGATTAAGTATGGTGAAAGGATACAAGCCTGACACACTACCTTCTTGATTTTAATCCATACAGTATCCCCTTGTTCTGTTCAAATGACAGCCTCCTGGTCTATGTACAGATTCCTCATGAGTATAATTAAGTGTTCTGGAATTCCCATTCTTCTACATGTTATCCACAATTTGTTATGATCCACACAATCGAATGCCTTTGCATAGTCAATAAAACACAAGTAAACATCTTTCTGTTATTCTTTGCTTTCAGCCAAGATCCATCTGACATTAGCAATGATACCCCTCACTCCACGCCCTCTTCTGAATCCAGCTTGTCTCTCTGGAAGTTCTCTGTCAATATACTCCTGCAATCATTTTTGAATTATCTTCAGTAAGATTTTACTTGCATGTAATATCAATGGTATTGTTTGATAATTTCCACATTTGCTGGAATCACCTTTCTTTGGAAGAGGTACAAATATGGACCTCTTTCAGTCAGTTGGTCAGGTAGCTGTCTTCCAAATCTCTTGGCATACTTGAGTGAGTGCTTCCATTGTGGCATCCATTTGTTGAAACATCTCAATGGGTATTTCACCAATTCCCAGAGCCTTGTTTTTCGCCAATTCATTCAGTGCAGCTTTGACTTCTTCCTTCAGTACCATTGGTTCTTGATCATATGCATCCTCTGAAATGGATGAACATCTACTAATTCTTTTTGGTATAGTGACTATGTATTCCATCCATCTTCTTTCGATGTTTCCTGCATCGTTCAACCTGTTGCCAGTGGAATCTTCCAATACTGCAATTTGAGGCTTAAATTTTTTCCTCAGTTCTTTCAGCTTGAGAAATGCTGAGCATGTTTACCAGAGCTGGTGATAGGAAATTAAACACAAATAATTTCAGGGACCAGATAGAAAGGGTGGGCAAAATCAGAGCTACAGACCCTTAACACTGTGCTCTTTTGCCTGGCCTTGGAATCCCAATAACATACTTGTCACTTCAAAGGCAAAGTTCCACAGGGGCATGTTACAAAATGGAAAGAATACTTAGATGAGAGAAATGCAAGACATTAGGAGAAGGAACACTCTTGGGTTGTATTCCTGGGTCATATACATGTAACTGACTTATGTGTATATACCATGAAATAAAATTCAATGAAACAACTTTTGATGATGATTTACAGGCTAATTGTCTTCAAAACAATATACCATATGCCAAAATGTAAGTTATTTAAAAGACATATTTAGCATATTTTTTTTGCATATGATTATAGATTATGATTTCTGAGCCCTGGCTTATTCAATATCTGTGTTATTACTAGAAAGTGGGGAATAGTTTCCTATGGAGTATATGAGTTTTGTCCCAGTTGTATTACATTGAACTGAGTCATGGATTCATGGTGGGTGGTTTTATATTTGAATTGATGTTGAACTCTACTGCCTTGAATCTAGCAAGACTTAATCAGGACCATAGGAGAGAGTGCTGCCTTGGGGGCTGCAGGCATTGTGATTTGGGGAGACATGAATTTAACTTCATCTGAGGTAAGTTAGTACCTTGAAGGTACAGTTTGTATTTTCTTTTAAGGATTTGCTCTGTTTTCTTGTGGAGTTCATGCACATTGAAGCTTTCGTAGCCCCAACATTAAACTAGCTTCAGAATGAAAACCCAGAGCAGTGCCAGGCACGAAGAAGGGGTTCAATAAATATTAATTTCGTCAAGGTAATGATCATAATACTGACATTTATTGAACATTTATTATGTGCTAGGGTTTCACTAA